AGAAAAGTTTTATAACTAAGCAACCTTATCACTTAACTGTAGATTTGTGGATAAAAATCAAGTTTGCCCCAAATTTTAACTCGTTTAAAACTCATTGTCTCTTTGCTCAATTTTAACTCATTGTCTTTTACTGCTCTTTCATGGTTCTGAATCCAGAATCAATACTCAACAAATTTGAATTTATTCACTGAAAAAAACCAACCACAAGGAAAACTTGGTAAAACCCTGCATTTTACTGGGTGTATGTCCAGAAATTTGTAAGACCCTATTAAGGGAAACTAAGAACACAGCTCTTCCTAAGGTGTTCCTTGTTAGCATGACAAAGTGCATGCTGTGGTTCAAACAATATTTCTTAAAATTTAGGACAATAAGAAATAATATTTTTGAACCGACTAAACAGAATGAATTATGTTGGCACAGATTTTTACAAAAGCAATTTTTAAAGGGCAATTTAAATACCAGCTTCAGTCAAGTGAGTTTTTCTGACTTTATCCTGACACTCAAATGCATTGAGATATGTTTCCCACAGAGTACCTTGGAGTTCTAAATGGAGTAATAAGCAAGACAGTAGTGCCTCAAAACATTTTTATCAAGGAAATTGAGTTTTGGGGGACTCAGGTATCACATCCACACATGCACCAACATCTGTGTCTACACTGTCTGCTTTGCCAACTATAACTATGAGTGTGAACTATTATTTAATTTTTAAAGTCACCCTCTCCACCTGGGCATAAGATTGATCCTACTTCCTCTCACCTACCCATCCACTACAGAACATCACCCCACTATTTTCTCCTCTCTCTTGTAAGATGAATGAGTAAGGCCTTCCTTACTGAAACATCCTCCATAGCGAAGGAACATGTTATTTCTCCCGTTCTAAAACAAAACAGAACAGAAACAGGCTCTGTTGACTCAGCATCTCGTGCCAGTTATCAACCCTTTATTCTGATCTCCTTTAGAGCAAAGTGCCTCAGATGGTTTCTCGTCTTACTTCTCCAAGACTCTCTTCCTAGTCTCTCTTAAATTTATTTCAACAAGCTTCTACACCCATCTCACCAAACTGCTTTTTGTCAAGGCACTGTCGACCAGGGCTCTGATGTCACCATCCTGAAATTCTTAATTTTTTGACAAGGGGACCTTGAATATTGAATTTGCTCTGGGCCCCACAAATGATATAGCCCATTCCGTGGGTGACCTTCATTTGTTAAGGCTAATGATCAATCCTCTGTATTTGTCCTGCTTGACCCTTCAGCAGCATGTTCTAGATCATTCACTCCCTCCTCATTTTGTTTTCATGATGCCTTACTCCCTGGGTTTTCCTTCTATCTCACAGGCCCTCCATCCTTGGTTTCTGTTGCTTGTGTCTCCTCATTTCCATGGCTTCAGATACTGGGCATATTTCCTTCTCTAATTCTATACTCCCTTGATTATCTCAGCCACTATCACGATTTTAAATACTGTCTATATGCCAAGGCTATCTGACTTCCAACTCCAAACTCAGATAGAAGAGTCTACTTGTCCTTTTTATTTGGATCTTAAAGGTAATTTGTTCAAAATTAAACTCCATTGCTTTCCCACTCCAAGAATGGTCTGTTTAATCTGTTCTTCCAGTTGCTCAGACCAAAAGTCTTAGAATAATTCTTGACTCTTCTCTTTCTCCCTCACCCTACATCCAGGTCTTGTTTGCTGTATTTTCAAAACAGTCTGTGGAATTTCAACTGCTTCTTTACTCCTCTCATCTCTTGTAGACATTAGTAAATTGGCTTCCAACCTGGTCTCCTTGCTTCTCCCCTTGTATTCTTACCTCTTATGATTTATTTCAAACAGAGGAGAATGGTTCCATTAAAATATAGATCAAGTAACACTCCTCTGCTCAAAACACTGCACTAGTTCCCCACTTCAGACAAAATAAGACACAATCCTCAAGAGGGCCTACAATGTCTTAACTGATCTCATTTCCTCCCACTTCCATTTTGGTGTCCAAGTGAATCTCTAAATACTCTCTCTCCCCTCCACGGTTTACCTACCCAGTCACATTGGCCTCCTTGGTTTCATGAACTTACCATGTAATTCTCCCACCTCAGGGCCTTTGTACCAGCTGTTTACTCTGCTACTCCCTCCTTTAAGTCTAGGCTTAAATGAAGACAATAGTGAATATGACATCCATCCACTCCCCTTATTTTTGTCTAAATAATTTATCATCCTCTAACATGAAATGGTCTTCACATATTTATCTTATATGTATGTTTATTGTCTACCTCCCTTCTACATAAATGGGAGTTTGGGCCTGCTTTCTTTCATTGAGATAGTCCAAATGTCTGCGATAGTGCCTGGTACATGGTAAAGGCCCTATCAATCGATACCAATGTCATTTATTGGCATTTATTGAATAAATACACGATGCCTGGGCTTGTCCTGTGTGTCATCCCCAAGAACAAATGCATGGCAATAATAATTTCACTAGAGAAAATCATCATCAAGGCGATTGTAAGAAATAAAATTGTAGAAACCAACCATCATGATCATATCAAGTTGAGCTTTGTATGATACATTAATTCCTTGGGGAATAGTACATGCTATGTGGAAAGCAAGCATGTAAGGAAATTTAAGCTTGAAGGAAATACCGTTGGTTGCACATTACACTAAAAAATCAGCTACTGTGTGAATAGGATGAGGGGAGACACCGGTTTCACATAAGAAGTGGCGCATATTCTGAGAATAAGTCTGTGATGTATTTGTGGATCTTCTGCTCATAAATATCCCTGGGAAATTGCTTACAGTTTAATGGTGATGTGGATTTAACTTGGAAATTCATCTTCTATTTGTGGAAATAATTAAAAATTTTCGATTACATTTTCTCTCTAATAGGCCTTGCTATCCCAGTCTCTACCTTGAACCTAAAGAAAAAAGTTAGCGTTGGTTCATCATTCGTTGTTGTTACTGAGCTGGAAGTTGAAAGAATGGGTTGTTACCTTATAAGATATATTCTATATAAATACTACAATGTTTATGGAAGGTGACTTTCAGATTACTGACAACTTGAGTATATTAAAGAGTATTATGAAACTAGCAAAATATTCTATTATAAAATCACTTATTTCTACTTTTAAAAGTTCTCTATTTGTTAAAACCACCCACTACAAAGGGCTCCTTCTTTCCCATTTCCTGGAACAGTGTACTTTTCTTTGTTAGTTTCACTCTGAAGTACGACATGGAGGGGAATAGCAGGACTTCTTGGACATGACTGAATATTTAACATTTGCAACTTTTAATTGTTTTCCATAGTTTTTCGTTCACACCAGCATGGCAAAGGAAGAAAAGTTGTACTTGGGGTTACAAAGAGGGAGAGCAACAGGACAAAGTAATTAGAACTGCATTAAAAAAACTGGGCTTATTTCTCCTCTGTGCAAATGTTTTTCGTCTGAAGCAGATTTGGCTCTGAGAAAATTGGGCAGGTGCTGCCACCACAGTGCTTTCGGACTTGCTGGCAGAGCTGGAGACGCCTGGGATCCGAGACAACACCCAGAGGAGCCGCAGCTAACCTCAGCCCTTCGCCCAGTTCCCCCCCTGCAGTTACCAGAGTTCGCTATTGTTCAAGCTCCAGGGGTCACACTCTGCCAATCTACGGGTGAAGTGGACTCCGAGCAAGTGTTTTGTTTGGCTTGCAGTATTTCTTTTAAAGGCAGACACTGACATTAAAAATTAGATTCTATGTAACATTCCCTTTGTCCAGTTCACGAAAACTGAAAATATGGGAACACACGCCAGCTTGGCAATGTTTTGAGGGCCAAGGGAAGGCTGCCTTTATACAGACCTCTAGCTCCCGAAGTCCCCGCCCAGTGGGCTTCCCCCCAACCCACTGCAGGCTACTCCCCCGCTCCTTTGTGCAACAGAGTTGCTGAGTGCTGCCGTACCTTCCAGGGGACACCAAACGGTGCTGGAGGCTGGCAGTCCTGACTCAACTCCTCTCCCCTGCAATGGCAGTAAATAGCTGATGACCACATATTTCTCCCTACATGGGATTCTGATGGTTCTGGGTGAGAACAAACCATATTCAACTTTATCTGAAAAGTGGTCCCTGATACAAGAATCACAGATTCTATGTAAGAAAAAAAGTACCACATTGTTACCAGTCCCCCCTCTACAGAATGTTGCCTTCAGCTTCTAAACAAGTGTTACCATGACGAAAGCCCTTCAAAGCCTCTACTTTGCTGTTTCCAAAACAAGGGAGAAGAGAGAGTTAGAAAAAAAATAAAGACAGGATTTGTTAATTTAGGTTTACAGAAAAACGAGAAGTGACCATGGTGCGAGGGTAGATACTAATTAATTTGCAATTTTACAAACGAATATTCTAAAGCAACAAGTCATTCATATATGTTATGTCCTGTGCCTTTTGTGTTTTTCCTGTTGGTTAAAAACACTTGGGTGAATCTTCTGAAGTCCTTTCCTACATGAATTTCTACTGCCTCTCCTTCTTCCCAAAGTCACCCTTCAGGAAACACTGCTGATTAATTTCATTTTAACCAAACACAAAAGGCATGCAATATATTAATATAAACATCTTGAAACGACTTATCAGGATCTTTCACAACATACTCACTCACATGGGCTATTGAATGGTATCAAGGTTAAACTTCAATACCTGGAGTTTTTACATATCGTAACAATCGCTGCCCAATACTCAACACTCAATACTGGATACTCAATAAGTGTTTTTGAAATAAACACAATTTTTATTGTTGATCTTCCTAAAAAACTATTATTTTTTTTTACACAAAATCTATCAATAAGAGATTGAATTGGTTAAAAAAACGAACAAAGCAAAACAAAGCAAATTGAGAGAACCCAGGCTTCTCCATTTTGGTCCTATTTTTTAAATGGTGATTTGATTTCACCATTTAAATTCACCAGAGCCTGTCTATATGTTACAATGGTGTGAATTTCCTATTGCCACACAGATGAAAGCGAATCCGTATAAACCATGCCAACGCCATCGTGTGTAACTGGTGGTAAAACTTTATTATTCAAGTTTAGATGTAACAGACATCTTTGCTGCCTGAAGATTGTTTGCATAAGAAATACACCAAGAACATGTTTGTGAGTAGAAATGAACATGCACTATGAAAACAAAATTAAATAAAACAAAAAAAAATTCCATGTGTTGTAAGAACAGAACTATTATAGCCAACATTCTAATATTCAAATCAGGACTACAAATTGAACTTTTTCTTAGCAACATGAAATCATTCCATATGAAAGACATTTTCTGCTGGTGAATATTGCTGTAAAGTTAATTTTACATTGGCATTTTGAGGTGTTTCCTACTCCCATCCCACCCCCCAAATTATCCATATTGTCCAACTGTTCACCCTAAGGGATTTGGCATTGATTGTGATATTTACCTTATTGGTAGCCATTAAAAAACTATGGTTTTTATCAGCCTTGTGATAGTTTGCGTCTTCATAGCCAACACTATAGGCTGTCTAGATACGGTATTTACAGCTCATCCCTAACACAAATGACCCCAACTGTTCCTGGCCCTCGGGAACTGAGAGTTTAAATAAGCCCCTTGGCCATATAATACTTTGGCACTGCCACGGTGCCTTTCAACCAAGGATCTCAAAGTGCTTTACAAACAAGTACTACATAACCATTATTATTATTATTAATATTATTATTATTAATATATATTTTTCAATTTTACAGGTGAGGAACCTGAGGCACAAAAAGAAAAAGTGATTTGCTGCAGGTCATATAATGAAAAGACAACCCGGGGGAGGGGGAATCAGAATACAGTTTTGGGACTTAGAGATCTGGAGGGACCATTTTCTCTGATGAAGGATACACGTGATTTCCATGAAGAGGTACTTTGCTCTTCCCTGGTGAAGGACGGAGTGAGGCTTACAGCTCTACCTTTCCCTTCAAGACAACACACGAGCACACACTGTCCAGTTTTCCACGTGGGAGTCAATGTTGAATTTCACATTTTCTTCATCCCTGACTTGACACAATTCCGCCCTAGCATCTTCCAGAGGTCCTAATTACTGCGAATAACCATGGGTGCTTTCTAAACAATGGCACCACTATCAGGAATACGTGAGTCCATTGTCTATGAAACAGTAATTGGGGAACCAAAAGGAAGTGCTCTTCAAAGAAGCTATGCCTTCTGCCCTTGGCCAAGTCTTTCTTTGGGAAAATAACACAGCCCTTCAAAGTCTTGATGCACGTCTTTCTATTCTCCTCTCATGTACAGTTGCCTGCTGATAGAATCCCATCTAATAGTACCTACCTTTGGTTAGCATAGTTAAGATTCCTATTCAGGATGCATTTCAGTTCCTCTGATTTTCTCCTGTGATCCAGGAGGGCAAGCTTTGAACTCCTTGCTCACCAAAGATGTCTCGCATTTTCTGCCATGGCCCTCAACCCAAAGACAGGAAGCTGTGAGCTCGTGTAAACTTTTAGGCAAAAGGCTGGCACACAGCCCAGAGGCTGAACACCCTTCTTTGCTCCACGCTTCCTTCCACCAATGAATGACAGACATTCCCCCTCCAGAGCTGCGTTCATGTTCACTAACTAAACAGGCAGGTGGTTTGGAGGTCTCAAAACAGGTCACCTTGTGATATTTTGCAGCCACATAGCAGGAGGCTAATAATTATTTTAATAGCAGTATCGATACTCTTCAATTTCTTAAGAACAATGTATACCCTCAGGCATTTAAAAATATATATACATTTAATATTTTTGGAGCTGCATTTGCATTGGATCGTAAGAGATTATGTGCACACGTGCAATCAGAATGTGCTACCACAGGCTTCCACAAAGAGCTGTCAAAGATAATCACCTTTTTCTTCTTCTCATTAATATTATCGCAGAAAAGAATCCCCATGCTTGTCTTCTAAAATCTACCTTTACTAAAAGAGAACAGTTTAGAACAAAACGTCACTATCTTCAAAACTGGTTTTTTAAAAAAGAACATCTCAATGTGTCACGTGGAAAGAAGGGCATATACTCTTTCTCTCCTGTACTACAGAGTTAACGAGTGAATGTTTAGAGCTCCATCCTTTTCTCCTTGCTTAGAGTCATGTAGTGTCTCTCAATCCACAGCCTGGTGAGGTGGGCTGGCTCTTGTTGATTTTTCTATTCCCAACAGCGTCATGGATACATGGGTGAGAGAGGAAGGGAGAAAGAGTGAGAAAAGGGGAAGGTGAGAAGGAGAATATATGAACTGGTCGTGGCTTAGAGTTTGATCCAAAGGTGATTCAGAACATAGATAATTACTTTTAAAGGGCTTAGAGTTTTTAAATGGCATACAGTTTTCACCATCAGGGGAAGCCTTTTTTCCAAGAGGGGAAATCCCTAGATCATCTTGAAAGTCCTCGAAAAAAATTAAGTACCTAAATAGCTCATTTAAAAGTCACGATTTAAGACAAAACAATGTCTTAAAACCAAATAAAGTAAAAATAACAATCATTTTTGTAATATATTTTGAAAGATGGAACAAAGGCTCTCACAAGTCAAAAATAAGGGGTATTTTAGTGTTATATTTTAATCTTTTTAGAAAAGCCCAACTTCTTCTCCATCAAAATATGTATAACAGCAAAAATGAAAATGAAAATAAAATAACCAATAATAAAGGAATAAGACCTAGCATGGCAATGCGATCCAAGAACATTCTACTGAAAGTAGATTGACCATAAATATTCCAAGAACAGTGATATGTATTTTCCAATGCTAAACATTACTACCAGGTCCGTTTGAGGGGAAAAAACCATGAAAATAGAAAGGCATACCTGCCCAAAGTGAACAACCTATTTGTGTCTGACACAGTGAAGAAACTGCTGATTGAGTCGTTTTACCCCGAAAGTCATACCTGTAAAATGGCCGCCTTAACCAAACTTCTGGCATTTTGCTGATTTAAGCAGTCCACATACAAGGCTGCTTGAGGGTCGCCAGAATGCACTGTTACCAGCCTTTTTACTAAGAAAACTAAATACTGTTATTGTTTGGGAAATCTCTCTCTCTCTCTCTTTTTAATCTTTCCTTGCGACCTCTCAAGTCTGCCTGTGCACTTGAGATGCATTCATTACATTCTTAAGAAAGATAAATTACATCACATCATTTGAATGTCGAAGCTCCTCATTCCACCTTTTTATTTCAGTTTATGTGAAGGTTAGAGCTACGCAACAGGTGAGATCAGAATAGAGCCCTTTAAAAAAAAAGAAGCTGAAGCAGAAGGCTTAGTCCTGATTTCTTTCTTTCTTTCTCTGTCTGTCTGTCTCTCTCTTTTTTTTTATAGGAACACAAAAATGCAGAATGGAAATGACAACGCAACACCAGAAAGACATGTTTAAGTTCACTCACTACAACAGTCACAAACTGGCTGAACTCTACCTGCCATTCAGTTTTGAGAACCGGAGACCTGGCACTGCGAAAAAGAAACAAAACCCCAAACAACACAAAACAATACAAAGCAACTGCAAATTAATGTAAAAAATGGAGCGCAAATGTGACTACAGAATGCAATAAAAACATCGGTGCTGCTGGTTCCAGCAGCACTCATCAAAATAATCTCTGAAATGTTTCATCTGAAACATAGACAAAGCAATAAAAAGAGGATATATGTTTATCATTTTAAGCATAACAATGTGAGTTAAGAGCTTAAAAATAAAAAAAAAAGTACTTGGAATGAATAGTGCTACCCTTTTTTTCCTAAGTAGGCATAAAAATATTTTCAATTCCTTCTTGTTTTCCATACCATTATATCAAGAACTTTCATTTGTTTCATGTCACCGTTTACAATTGTAATGCACACACACACATACACACACACAAAAAGATATCTACCGCAATAGAAATAGTTGCTTCATTACCTTGTTTGCTACATTTGCAAATGTAAACAGCTAGGCAGAGCCAGAACTGACTCTAATGCATGATGGAATATCTTTGTTGCATACGTACACTGTAGAAAATAATTATTCAATATGTCAGGCACCATTATTTGAAATGTAATACATTAATATTTACTAGAAAAATAAGTTTTTTTTCCTATTTGTTCTCCCAACTTCTTTAATGAAATAAGTTAATCTGACAGTGCATCCAGTAGCTTGTAATATCTTCTACATCTCCGTGGCAAAAAATAAACTACTGGTTGGGACAATATAATGCAAATTATTAAAGTCAGTCCTTGTACATACATCCTTGTAGCAAGCATTGAGGCTCGACTAACAGCACCTTTAACCAATTATTTAATGTTCAGTTATTTAGCCCTATTTCCCTGAGCAGTTATGCTGAGGAGCTTTCCCTTCATGGATAGTTTTACAAAGCCTTAAGTATTAAAAGTACTACGAAGACATACTTCTAAGAATCCTATTTAATGCTACTTAACTAAACCTGTATAAACCTAATGAAGGGATGGATTGGTACACACACCGCCAGTCTGTGGTGACGTAACCTTAGACGCTGCCTGACCACAAAGTTTGGAAATTCTATTTAACCAAAAGAAAATAAATAAATACAGCAGGTTACCTGGTGGAGAAATACCATGTGTTCTAAACCAATTCAGCCCATGGTCTGCACTTTTGTATCCATCTAATCTTGAACTGAGGGAATCCCTTTAGTTACAATGTCCCAAGTGAGGTTAGTGACCAACAGGAGGCTTCAAAAACAGATCCACACTGGTTCATCACAGACAAGAAAGAAGTATCTGGCTAAAATAAAAATTACTACATAAGCACTGAGGACACTGGTTTTAAAAATGCATATATATTTGGACAAAATGAACCTAAAACGCAAACAAAAGAACTACTTTTGAAAGGCATATCCGAACACCTACGGACAAAAATATCAGAGAGGGTGGGTGTGCGTGTGTGTACTGGCAGGGCTGGCCCAAACCGCTGCGCCGCCGTTTGTCACGCTTCTGGCTGCTCTCTCACCAAGTGCAACCACAGCTCACACTTCTAGGTCTCAACCGGACACACGGTCAAGGAGAGGAGGCGGATGTAAGAGGGTGCCGTGTTCCTTTCACTGCCCTGGAGATTAGATTTCTCCTCCTCTGCCTAGGGTTGTAGGATATTTCTAAATTTAGGCAACAATTTATGGGTTTTTGAATAAATGGGCCAATGGCCAGCCCAATACTGCTTTAGATTCATGGTATGTAAACCCTTTCAAATTCTAGACAGCTTTGATCTCTTTCTTTACAAACATAAGAAATTATAGTCTGGTGATACTTCTTATGGATGGTATCTACCATACACGTTCCCCAAGATGGTTTGACCTACTAGGCTCCAGAACGTGACTATTTACCATCTTCCATTTTTTTTCTCACTGACCATTTGTCTCACTTTTTAATCTCGGTAACCTACTCGTCAAAAGAAAGAATAATAAGAGAAGGGAATTTCGTGTTGGATAAGGCAGGCTCTATGAAGAATTTTTTTAATAGGTCTTCATAAGACATTACAAGCTATTGAATTCCCATCAAGAAAACCTATTTCTATTTAATTGTGCTAAGTGCTAAGGTTTTACTCTTTAGGTTTCCCATTTTTTTCCGCTTGTGCATTGTTCCTATGCAGGCCTCTCTGGATATGAGTTGTAAAGTCGTATTTGTCCGTGCAAAGATGCTGGCATATGCTGCACTGGAAAGGTCCACTGTCACCATGGCAACTCATATGCAAAGCGTACATCACTTCATCCAGAAAGACAATGCCACAGTGCACACATTTCGTTGAAAGTTCATCTTGAGTACTTCTATCAACTTTCTCTGTTTTTACTACATTCAAGGGACCTTCATTTTTGACATTGGAGGGCGCCTTTGTTTTTTCCTTGGAGGCACCGTTTGCAGTTGGCCCAGGTCTGGAATGCTTGATGGCCAAATCTAGAGGAATGTCATTGTCTGATCCGACAGCTGAAAAATGAGGAGGCAGATTGAAGGTGGGGTAAGGCACATAGTTTTGGCAAGGATTTGGTAGGCCAGGCACATGACTCAAGTAGTGCGGATTCCCAGGAACGGAGAGCTTATATTTACTCCAGAACCGCAGCCAATCAGCTTCACTCTGGAAGTCATTATGTACAAAGGGGAGTCCAAAAAGGGGGTACTGGTACTTTTCAATAGGGCTGCCTGGTGGTGAATAATTTGGGTGCTTTGCAGGTCTCATGTACTTTTCAATGGGACTGCCTCTCTCAGAACTTCCTTTCCCTTCAGATACAGAGGAACTGTTTCCTGGGTCTCCAGTACTTTCCTGAGGACTTTTTATCTGAATGTGCAAAGGTTGCATCCTTTTGTGAATATCCAGAGGTTGGCTGACCAGGACGGGCTGCTGAGCAGAATGGCTTTTAGTCAATGACCCCTGGGCTTCGTATTTACTCAGGCTGGGGAGTGGCATTTCTCTCTGGTGACTTTCCGTCAAATGATCTTCTGACCTCCTCTCTAAGGGGCTCCCATTGACTTGCTCCTCACTGCCACCCCTCTGCTGTTTGTTGAGCTGCTCAGCCTGAAGTGCCTCTGGGTTAAGGCGCTTTCTTGTTCTTCTCCTAATAATCTGCTCACCGTTGTTTTGTTTAATGATGTTTAAAGGCCTGGGAGTCTGCAGAGAATGGACACACAATACATAAAAGGAAAACATTAAAAATACATGAAAATGCATTAACAATTCCTCACAAATAGAAACCATGCTTCAGTTCAAAGCGAGGATAGGCTTTATGTTATAGATTTACTAAATCTCCTCCTTTTGCCCCGAGCAGGACCAGAGGAAGAAACCAAAGTGCCCTTGTTTAAGCCTAATTAAATCATGCCCATCTTTGCAGGGAGGACTGAACACTTTAATCTACTTAACAACAGCTTTCCAAACTCCGTGGATTTTGGAATTGCATCATTTAAGTGATAAAACCATGCAGAAAGTTACTTGAAGAAATGTGATTTTTCTGAAATATTTCTCAACTTCTGAGTCATGCACAAAGATGTCAACAGCATGACAGGGGAGATAGGTTTTGGTAAAAATGGTGGAAAAATGAGGCTTTGCTACAGACTGAGTTGTGTCCTCCCCCAAATTTATCTGTTGCAATTTCTAACCCCTAAGGTGACTGTATCTGGAAAGACTATGGTCTTTGGCAGTGAAATAAGGTGGAATGAGGACATAGGGACAAGGCAGACTTCGGCAAGCCGGGTTCTCGGAGCAAGAGAGCTCTCCCAGAACCCAAACCTGACTCCTAACCTCCAGAACTGCAGGACATGTATTTCTGTTGTTTAAACCACCCGACTATGGTATTTCATTATGGTAGCCTCAGCTGACTAATACATATATTCTTTTAAATAACTGCAAATATGAACATAAAATATTAAATATCAGAGCACAGAAAAAGTCAAACTGACAGAATCATGAAGAAAGGTAGCAGATAAGCAAAGCTGTATCAGTGCGAGTTTTTTTAACTTCTCACTTTTATTTCTCTCCCTTTAATAATATTTTATATTCAGTAAGGGAGCTGGCACTTGTTGACTGTTACAGCATTTGTTTTATGTTGAAAAATCTACATTAATTTGCAGCCTTGGTTCAAATATTTGATCTGTTATTCTAACTCTATACTTAAATTGAATGCTGAATTTTACCCAGCTTAACAATTTTATTGGCTTAAGAATTATATACTTGGTACTTACATATATATGTTCAACAGGTGTTTACATTTTATGACTAAAACCCATAGATAAGACTATAATAAAAACTTACAGCAAGAGCTGTAACTTTGATTCATAAAATCAAAAGAATGAGTGGAATAAATGAATGCATAGTTACAGATTAAAAATTTAGAGCAACCTTTAATAGGCTAAATTTGATTGCTCTAAAGGCTTCCTGAAATCAGGAACTAATTTCCACATAAAATATGAACCTATATAATGTATGATTTATGAATTATTCCCAGAAAAGATGAAGCTTAATACAAAAGTACCTTTTATATATTAAGTGAAACATAAATATAACTCCTTTATGGAATGTTTCCAGTGTTGTGAAGGTATTTTGAAGGAAAGAAAGATAACGCACTTGTTATTGACAATTCAAGTATTGGTTTAACAATAAAAATAAGACATCCATCCTGATATGCCACGTTCATTCATATTTTGCTCAGAATATTCAGGTACATAAAGAGCTCAAATTTGTATTGTAAAAATACAACAACATAGCAGTAAATAAGCAGTAATACCTTTTTAAAACTTTCACAGCTTTGTGGCATAAAATGTGAGCAAAACCTTTATGTATTTAAATTCATGATTTAAAAAAACATAACTGAAAACATCTCCTTTCTGGAGAGATGAATCCTGAAATAATTGTGAAAAGAAGAGTTAAGTTTATATCACAGTTGTTAAATTATCATAAGCTGGAAGGCAGTAGCTTAATTAATTCATTGCCTATGATTGGCCAGAGTTCAATTAAAATCATTAATGTCGGTCCTCATTAAACGGAAGCTTATTGCTGAGTTTGAATGGTGAGGGGTTAAAACAGGAAGGTGGTGTGATGGTGGGAAAAATCTTTTTCTTAGCTACATGCTAATAACTAAGATTTTAACAGTTTAGCACTAATTAGCATTGTTGGCAGCATCCATTTTTTAAAGAGTGCTTCCAAGCGTCCATTTATGAGGACATTTTGCCTAAAATTATATTCCCAGGGGTAGCTGTAAGCTATTCACTGGATGTGCTAAAAAGCTAAGGTAAAACACCAAACAAGATGAAAAAGGCGGAAGGAAACAGACTTCTGTTTACTAGATAACAGTATCCCTATTTTTAAAGGCAGCTCTTGACAGCAGATCACTTTTCTAAACTAAAAGAAAAAAAATCGTCAGGAAGTCAAAAGCATGTACAGGTGGGAGAATTCGTAAGTTTAAAATTTATTAGAGGGTTCTAACTAAGATTGGGGCAGAAGTTACTGGAAGTACTCCAGTAGGCACAGAAAGAAGCCAGCTAGAGCTCTTAAGACACAGAAGCACCTCAGGCCTTCCCCTACTCTGCTGGTACCCAGGCCCTTGGATACCCGCGCCTGTGCCTGAACACGCATCTCATGTGCTGCGGCGATTCGGCTCGCATTTTCAGGAGCTGGTTCAGAACCCTCTTCTCAATGGGCCGGACCTCCCAACCCCGAAGCATCCAGATCACACTCGCAAATTCAAAAGTAAACTGGAAAATAAACATTCTCTCCCTGCTCTGTAGTTTACACCGGACACGGGAGAGTCCTCTTTAAAAATAAAACAAAATAACTTCTGCATTTTTTGAACTTTTAAGAAGGTTGTCTTCTATCTATACTAGCTTCACCAAATTCCGATAACCATTCAACTGTTTTGTGAAATTCCCAGAAATCCATCATTTTCCTCTTTTATACCAAAAGGAGCATAATGCATCACTAACGATCCCAAATGTATCTGCCCCTACCATCTGAGGCCATTTCACCATAAATCACACGTGCACTCAAAGCGACTGCATTAAACTGCCTGCCGGGACAGGCGTTGCAAGTGCGGGAATGGTCCTCCGCACACCGTACACCCAGCTACTTTACAAAGCTTTTCCTGACACCGTCTACTAAGTGCTTACCGAGTGAAGCTTCTGGTAGAGGCCACACGCGTTGCATACATATCCGCCATTTGCATTCTTTCGCCAGAGAGAGGTCTTTGTGGTCAAGCAATTGGCACAGAAAACACCCGAGCCTCTACGCCTCTGAAACGGGAAAAAAATACAAGGTCAGAGGTGAGTCACATGATCACTGGAGTTAGACCAAATCAACCCAGGAGTTTTGTCTTTAGACTAGCAACAATGACAGTATAAAACCACACTGCCCATAATGAGGTCAGGTTCAATTGTGTTTAATAGGCACCACTGATTTTCATTATAATTAACCCTACAGTGATGGATGAGGTGTGGGCAACACCAAAGGCTTTTCACAGAAACAGCTTTAACTTTTTGAACTTTGGGTTTTGTGCCATTAATGATGGCTCCTAGATGCTGAACCTTAAAATATACCTTTTAAAAGTGTCAAAACAAAAGTCAGAAGAGAGCACATGGCAATATGTTTCACACACTTTGGAAGAGGAGGAGCACATGCCCCCCGAGCTTTAAAATCAGGTCAAGCTTGGAATAAATGCACCACCTAAACCATTTAAAATTATACCCGACTTTTTCTACATCCTTCATGTACACCCTCTATTGCCCAAAGCCGAGAGAACCAGCAGAAACTCCAGGCTATGAGGAGTACATACAGTATTACTAATGAGAAGCCTTTTGAGGTACCTGCTTAAGCCAGATGACACAGTCCCATCAAGGGCTACTGAGTGATAATAAAATCACTCAGACTTGGAAATCACAAGCATTTCCAGACACAAACTGATATTACTGGGGTTGAATTTTGTAATCTCCAGATTCAAAAAATAATCTAAGAATATTTAAAAGCAGATAATTAGTATCGATTGTTCCACTGTTGGTATCGAGTAATGACTCCATTAAACTTCGGAGTGAAACAAAAGTCAGGCTGTCTTTGTAGGCGCAAATGCTAACAGGCAGGAAATGGAATTCTCTTGCTGCAAGAAGAGACAGCCTGAATTACAATTTGGCCCTCCTTTCTCTAGGAAGCAGAGCCTTTAATGACCAAATATGCATGTTAGATAAGGAGATGGGAAAAAAGTCTCGCTGCAACCCAATTTTATTATAAATTTAAAATTAAGAGCACTGTAAGTCAAAATTTCAGGGATTCATAAAATTTAGGCCATTTATTTAACTCCATACTGTAGAGGAGTGGTATCTCTGCCAAGAAAATACAATGGTTATAATTGTACTCTGATACATTTCAAATGGAAAGCTTTCTGCAGACATAATTTTGGCTTCAAGACTGGAACACTTTCTTGGCATTGAAAGGGCATTTGATTCATCGGGTGTTTCACAATGTATCACTAAAAAGACCTGGTGAGCAGCCAGTTCCCTATAGGGTAATTTTTCCATCCAGATGCAAGTGCTATCAGAGGCCCTCGTCAGCTAAACTAATTATGATCTTGCAGTTGCTGATGCCTGCTCACTCTAACATTCGACATCCCCCATTAATCATCAATACAAGGAAAATGAATGAAACGTAAAGAAATGAGGGCTGGTAAGCTGCACAGCCATAAAAATCTGAAATGAGAGCAATAATTTAACAAGATTGGGGAATGTTTTTAGTGAGCACAAAGTCGGGCTAACAATTGCCCTTTTCATCCAAGAACACGATTTCATTAGTCTAGCAGGTTGTGCTACTTTAGGTGATGTAATAAAAGCTAGATTTTTCTAGAAGATAATCTCTGGCTCCCCCCAGCTCTGCACCCCCCATCCCCCCCCCCCCAAGAAGTTGGGACCAGGAATGTGGTGCAAGTTCCGAAATCTCAGTAAGAGCAATGGCAAACATTGGGTGTCAGTCCACTAGTCCCTACTGTAAAAGCAGAGGCTGCTGCTTCTTGAAAATCAGTGAACGATTAGAGGCCGTGTTTATCAAACACTCTGGAGCCCCCTTTATCCAAAATAAGCTGGGGAGCCTAGTTAGGTTATAATTGTGAATTTTCCCTGGGGCTATGCTGTCTTTTTCCTAGATCTAAGTAACACGTTTGGCAAATAAACACCAACTTGATTCACATACAGGCGATGTAGATGTCCATTTGGAAACTAACCCAGAGAGGTGGCAGAGGCTCCAATTTGAATGTGTAACCAACCATTCACTCCAGCCTGCTTTTCTTTCCGTCTGCCCTGGGTGCTTGACACAGCTTGCCAAAGTGGGTGTGATCCTGGTTTCAGAGAGTGTTTCAATCCTTGCCCAATTTTGTGCTTAATTCTCTTGCAAAGAAAATGTCCTTCATTAGTTAGAGGGAAAATCCTGAAATTACAGCCCTGGTTTCCACTGGCACGGGTTGTTTCAAAGAGCACTTATGGGCCAATAAAGGCTGGTATATTTTAGGTAAACCATATCTTACTTTAAATACACCAGGAGTACTCCTGATTCACCTTCTCAGAGTCAGTGTGACATGGAGGTTAATAATCAGACTTAGGAATCAGACTACTTGTATTCCAAACATGTTTCTGCCTTTTGCCGGGTGCAACTTTGGGCAAGTTAATCTCTCAATGTTTAAATTTCTCCACCTTTACAGTGTGAGGTGCTGGATTAACATGGGCTAATGCAATTAAGACAGGGCTAGGGATGTAGTAAATGCTCAGTAACTCAAGGGGGTTCAACTGTATCTCTTTTGTAAGAGAAAAATATTTTGTTAGTTTGGTTTTATCTTCTTAATGTACTCATTAAACATTTTAGATATGCTTAAAACATCTAGTTGGATATTATTGAATGCATTTCATTTGGGTCAATCTTATCAAATATGAGAATGGAAAGTTGAGTCAGAGCGAAATGTCTAGGTGTTCACACCTAGAATTCGATAGGGGTGTGCTTGTGTGGGGGTGGAGAGTGGGAGGTAGGTGACAACTATTTCACCCATTAAGTTACCTCCCATCTAAACAAATGTATCACTTTGGTAGGAACCGCAAGCTGCAGAGAAGGTTGGAGATGTGAATAATGTCCTTGGCCGAGACCACAGAACCACAGAACTGTGCCACATTTGTCTACGCTATGATGGGGCTGAGCCCCCTGACCTGGCCACACTGTGTCAAACGCAACCTGGCTGAACACAGGACAGCAGTTCTTTTGAAGTTATATCCACATCCTCAGCTCAGTCAAGTTCTGTTGCCAGAGGAAGGCAGAATAGAAGTTTCCCCTGCCCCACTTTTTCAAAACAAGCTTGGCCTTGTTGAAGCACTAAAGACCTTATTTCAGTCATAGTTTATCATGCGTGACGAAGTTTTAAAATCTTCCATCATTCTCCTTCACACTATGTTTTGTAAAGGACAGAAATCATGTCTCCTTACTGTCATCAAATATTCTAAATAATGAGTACCTAGGATAGTGCTCTGTTTTGGACAGCTAAACCTAACCTCTGCAGTTATTATTTTTTATCATTAGCAGTCCTGCTTTGGGGGGGAAAAAGATAAAAAAAAAAACACCCTTTTTAAGTGGCTCTCCTTTGGATAGACAAATTTATCTCCACTTGGGCAGAGATGGCTAATGAGGTAGAAAATAAAATCAAGAGGAATCGAGCAAAAAAATAGAAAAAGAAACAAAGAGAAAAAGACAAGTAACTCATGGACACAGACGACAACTTGGTGACGGCGGGGGTGGGGGAGGAGGTGGGTAGAAGTGGCAGAGGCTATGGGAGGGGGGACTGATGGTAATGGAACGAGTATGATACAAAAAGAAAATAAAATCAAGAGAATTAATTTTCCAGCACTCCGCCCCACACTCATTTTTGAGAAAGGGCCGCAGCCACATACTTGCTGGGCCCTGAGGACGCAGGGTCAGGCAGGACGGAGCTCTCCACGTCTCCTTTACAAACACGCTCACAGTTGCACACTGCTGATGGTTCTGTCTGTGCGTGCGTATGTTTAAACACTATCACGCTGGATTCCCTTTTTCTGCGAGCTATTTTTAAGAGTTACTAGTGTTTGGTAAATCCATTGCCTTGTGTGGGAGGTGAATCCCATCCTATGGGTAGAAACACTCCTGGGAGAGGAGATGATAGGAGTAAGAAGCCGTGGCACACCCGAAAGGCAGGCTTAGCACGGTTCTGATTGTTTCTCTCCTTGGAGGTGGAGGGAAGCTGCATCTCACAGATGCCCAGCACCAGGCAGGCAGCATCCTCTGCCTCCGGCCTTCTCCAAGTGTACCTTCCACTTCTAAGTGGGGGCCCACGAGGTGAGAGGGAAGGAAGGTCAGCTGAAAACCCAAATCTATGGAAGTTGCCTCAACTGAAAACTTCTACAGAGAAAATTCCAGAATCAACAATTTAAGGAGCTGTTTTGTTCTTTTCTTTTGTTTTAACTGGAAGTTTTAATAGTTTGCCTAGTAACTCCTAGGTCACCCTGGTACTGCCTCCATGGTAGTTCTGCTGGCTGGTGACTTCCTGTGTGAAAAGGAAGGAGAGTTGGATGGAGGCGGGGGGGGGGGGATGCAATTAATGGCAAAATATTTGGAGGTCAGCAAGTGACTGGCTTAGCGAGTGCTTCTCAGTGACATTACTGAGACATCTTCTGATCACTTTCTACCTTTCAAATGTATTATCACCACAACACTGATTTTTACAACAGGAATTTAGGTGATGAACTTGGACGATCGTCCATGCCAGGATTTGAAATAGAAAATAATAGATGCATCCATCGTTTAACATAAATGCACTTTAAATCCAACATAATTCTTTTTCCCTGCTGTGGACTGCACCAAGAAGTATAATCACGAACTAACTAGCGTTAAGAAAAACAGACTGCAGGCTTCAGGTACAGTGCTAACCACCATACGGTATCACCATTGTCTTAGATTTTTCTCAGAGGTTCTGATTTAAGTTTTTTCTTATTGGGGACTTAAATTAGTCATTCTTGTATCACTCTCAGTTGAGCCTTGACACATGTGCAGGTAATCCCAGATGTGACTTCAGCAGAAAAAGAAACATTTTTAACGTTTTAAATTGGTTCAGCTGTTTTTTATTGCTTATTTTATTACTTGGTGATCAGTCGGAAACAAACATTTTAAGGTTTTCAAATTTCATTATTAACAAAGAGCTAATTTCATTTGATTAATAAAACAGCAAATTTGATTGAATTAT